TGCCCAGCTCCTTGGAGGCATCAGTGCTCCTTTGATTGAATACATTTAAGAGGCTTTCTCTTGCTGCATAAATTGCTTTCTCATGTCTTTGAAGTGACCTGTTTGAATTAAACATCACAGAGTGCTTTTTATATAGCTGTGCCAACAACACAGTGCAACTGGCATATCAAAAATGGGACAAAGTGCTCTGGATATCACCAGAGTCAGGGCAGTATTTAGTTTCTTGTACAGCTCGTGCTGTCATTTGTATTTGCTCACAGCAAGCTGCCTTCTGCACTCCTGGTGGTAATTTTTACATAACATGTAAAAGCTGAAAAAGGAGGAAAGGACAGCAATGCCCACGGGTGCACGCTGGAAAGTGTGAGTGCTGGAGTGACCTGCGCATCCCTGCACACCGAGTCCTCTCCGTGCTTCTTGTGGGGCACCACAACACCACGAGAGGGAGCGTGGAAGCAGCGAGTGCCTTGTCCCGGGATGGTCCGGCTGAGCCGGGCGCTGCTCCGGCCCTGGCAGCCAAACACAGGCTGAAAACAGAGCAGAAATGGAAATAAATTCAGGTTTCAGGGCTTGGGGAACTACAGAGAATATCTTGCACCTAAGGTTAATTTGTCTCAGGTGTCTGGAATTGCAGTTGGGCTTGGAGCTTTTAGTGCGTAATCGAGGTTATTTGGGATTTCCTACGCTGTTATTGCAGGTAGGCAAAAAGAGCCACTTAGCTGCTGAAGCTGGAATAAAAATATAATCACAAGAATAAGATTTGCCTTAATTCTATGATTCCTTGAGCATGAGATTATGCACTGATTTTGCCTTGGGTGGGACTGGGGCAGAATGCTGCTGCATAATGTCACCTTCTGGTATCAAAATGCTGCTCAGGGAAGTCTTATCCTGCAGTTGGAAGGTGATGGGTGAACCCCACCTAAACACAAAATAAAAAATGCAATTATTTCCATTTTCCCAGTGGTTACTTATAAGTAATAAGTTTTAGCACACTTGATGTCAGGTTATTTAGCTGAATTTGATGAAAATGTAAATGTATCATTGTTTATTATATTCAGTAAATAGAACAGTTTTGAGGCAGAAGTTTTTAGAAGGGCAGGACATGGCAAGTCAGGTCTAACTATTGAGATATGTCCAAGATGTAATGTGGAGAAAATGTAAAACAATGATCATTGTTAGAGGTTTAAAGGAAGGACCATGTACCTGGACTGTCCCCTACAGGTGTATCTAAATCAACTCTGGTTTTTCCAGCCTGCTCCAATGTTTTTTCTGCCTCACAATTTAAGGGTCTTTCCTAGGAGCTAACTCAGATCCTCCCTGCAATTTCTAGCAAACTCTTAATTTTCTCTTTAGCTTGGGAACACAGCTGATCCGTTCTGGAGTGGCTCTGCCTCAGTCAGGTGATTGTTGTTCCTTTCTTCCCTTTTTAAGCTAAACAAAAACTCAATTTTTTCAGGCTTTTTTTTTTTTAATACATTTTAGGGGGCATATTTTATAAAAAGTGTAAAGCAACTGTGTATGAACTGGGACCCCAGCTGAGAGTGAAGCCATCCCTCCTGGAAGGGCAGCAGGAATGTGGTGGGTACCCTATTCTGGAAAGAAATGTCCCTGTTTACAGTGCTGGTGCCATGCCTTGGATTCATTAACCAGCTGGGATAGCCTGGAGCTGTTCAGAAGGATTTTGGCTGTGCCAGAGCCTGCTCTCAGTAATGCAGCCAAGAGCTGGGTTGCTCCCTGGCCCTGCACTTCATGGAGTTATGGCTGGGTGAGGAGGGAACGTGGATGTTCTCCTTGCAGCTCCAGCTGAGGAAGGGGAGGTGAAATGTGAGTGTATGAAAGGTCACAGCTGACCAAAGTCCACCTGGGTGAGCCCTGTCTGGCACCTCAAGTGTGCATTTCTGTCTGCTCAGCAAGGAGCTGGGTGTGGGTTCTTGCCTCTTGGACTGTGGTGTTCAAAATCCCCTGGCAGATCTCTGTTCAATGGCTTTATCTATACATCTCAATTTCCGTTCCTCCAAACCAAATTTGAAGATAAACGTGGCAGAGTCTAAGGACCAGCAATGCACAGTGATGCAGGGGCAGCAGGTTATGTCCCTTCTCTGCCAGAGTTTGTTCTCTCACAGCCTGCTCCTCTCTCCGGAGGCAGTGGGGAGGTCTGGGGCATTTCCTTGCCCATCCCCAGCCCCAAACCAGGACAGCAGCTCTGCACTGGCTGGCTCTCTGCCCAGGGACAATGGCTCACCCTTCCAGGAGGCTCTGCAGGGTGTAGCTGCAGTGCTCAGCTCTCTGCCCTGTCTCTGCGCTCACTCCAGCACGGACAGGGAACAAAGGAGCAACACCCAAACATTTCTCCTTGGAAAAAATGGCAGCAGGGTTTGGGAGGAAGGAGACTTCTTGTTTCTTGCTCTGCTCAGTCCATCCCAGCAAGCTGCAGGGTATTTGAGAGACTGAAGAAGACCCTGAGCCAATGCATCCAGACTAATATGTGTTGCACTACTTCTCCCATCTGACAGATGCACTAGGTGGAAGAAAGTCCTTCGTGGGAGAAGTAGTGCAACACAGGATGGTGGTAGCAAGGTCCAAAGTATTTAAAATCTAGGGCTGAGCTGGGTGAACAAGGAGCCCTGAAGCAGAACTCCCTCCACCATGCTGCTGCTCAGGCCCCTCTGTGCTCTGGTGCTGCTGCTTGGGGTCCCCTCCCCACCTGCTGCTATGGCTGTTCTTGCCCTTCAGGGGTTCTGTGCTTTCCTGCACCATTTTCACACTTTCCCCTGCCCCTGCAGATAAGGAGGACATACATACCAGCTGGGTTTTGGCATTGGCTCAAATGAGCCAGAGTTACTCCTGGTGCTCCCCTTGTGTGCTGCTCTGGCTGGGCCCCAAGTCACCTCCAGAAGAAGGAGATAGGTGGGGATAAAACAGGTTTCTCATCTGCTCAGACAGCAACAATCTGCATGCCCCAAGCAAACCTTGCTTGTCCCACATCTCTTCTTGCTGTCCTTTAGCATCCTATCCCAAAAAGTCCTTGTTAATGTAGTTTGATCCTGTTTGCTGCTGCTGGCTCCGTGCTGTGTCCATGGATGGCTTTAGGGTGCCAGAGGTCCTGTCTGACCCAAACCAGCCTTATTCCTTCATAGCAAGGCAGTGAAATAAACCCTTCTCTTCTGCCCACAGCCCGACTGGCCGGGACCCAGCTTCCAACAGCATCTGTGGAGTGCAGGGTCAGTGCCCTGGCATGCCAGGAGAGCCTGTAGCAGGGAGACTTGGCTTCTTCTGGGCTTTGGGGGCTCCTCTATGGCACCCCCATGCATCCCTCCTGCCAGCCCAGCATCCCTGCTGTGCTCCCAGTGTGGAGCTGTGCCTGTGACGTGAGAGCCACTCACAGGAGAGCTGCTTCTCTCCTCGGTGCCTGCCAATGTTTGACAGCACAAACATTTTAAGCTGCAGAGGGAAGTGCACTCAGCCTCTCAGATGGTTTGTGCGTGGTGCTGCCCTTCTCCTGTGACACAAAGAGCTCAGACCCCAGGGCCACGTGCGGAGCTGCAAATTTGGTCCTACATGTGGGGCTGGCACAGGGGGCACAGCCATCCCCTCCTGGAGCACAATGGACTCAGCTGATTTGTGGGGCAGCTTCGTGGGGAAAAGCAGGTTGGCTTTGATTTTCAGGCTCCTTTTTGTCTTGGTTAGCAGAAAATTTACATGTTTTTCTGTGGATAAAAAGCTTCATGGTCTTTCTCTCTGCACCAGAGATGACAAGGTATTATGTTGCCCTGATGGCCTCCGTTTTGACATCCTCAGGAATATTGGGGAAGTGTAAGAGAGGCCATGGCAAATGGTCTGGAGTGGCTTACAGTGGAAGTTGCAGTAAAAACAGGCAAGGGAGCACCAAGCAAAATCTCTGCAGCACTAAACGTGTTTTTTTTGGTTTGCTGAGCCATGTTTCTATCTCTCTGGTCCCACAGGATGGTGTGTGGTTGTGACTTTTTCCAGCAGTAATAATGACCCCCTAAGCCAGTCCAGTGCCTGCCTTTGGCACCGCTCAGTGCATTTATGTTGGAAAGTGGGGGCTCCTGCCCAAAGGCTGCTTTCCCCCAAGAGCTCAGTGAGGCAGCCTCTGATGGGGGAGAGGAGCCAGAGGGGTCAGAGAGCTGCTCATGGCCCTGCAGCACGTGGGGCAGAGAGGCAGCACAAGTGTCCCCAGGCAGCCAGCACGCCGAGCAAGGCTGCACAGAGCAGCCAGGGCTGAGCCAGGGCTCCGAGGGTGGGGGGCTGGCTCTGCCACTCCGAGGATGAGCTGATGAGTGGGGACATGGGCTTTTCAGATTTGAACTGGAAACCAAGTTGTCTCAAAGGAGACTTCACTAAGCTGCTCTACCACGGTGTGAGCTGGGAGTTAGGAGCAGGTTTTCCTCTCCAGATAGGACTCACAACTGGTTTCGAGTCCAGTTGGAAACATTTTCCAGTCTCTGGTGAAGGACATCAGCCCATCCACACATTCCTCAGTGGACAGGACATGATGTGCCCACCCCATGGAGCCAGCACAGCTGCCAGCCAGCTGCTCTGCCAGTGCACCCTGACCAGAGCAGAGCAAGGGTGGCACTCACTGCTGGGTGACTTTGGCAGCAGAGATGCTCAGCTCTTCCCCCCTGGCCCGAGGTACCAAGCGTGGGCTTGCTTTGCCCTTGCATTGCTCACCACCAGCTGTGAGAGCTGAGCATTTATCTCCCCCCTGTTAATACACCCATAATTCACAGGCAGAAAAAGTCTTTTATTGCACTGGTGTCATTTAAACCAAGGGACGTATGGGTTTGTTGGGGTTTTTTTAATATTTTCAGGCAGTCAGCTCGTTTGCTCCAGCCTCTGCTCCACATCTGTGAGTGCAGCCTTCTCCATCCAGCTGAGAGGGAATTATGTGTGCAAGAGGAGTCAGGGCTGCCTTCCCAGCTCCTGGCTCACACTGCTAGCACTGCCGTGCCTGCTGCACACCAGCTGCGTGCCCGAGGATGCTGCACCTGAAAGTCCAGTTCCTGGATGACTCCCAGAAGATCTTTGTAGTTGATGTAAGTGGGTATCATATTCTTACTGATTTTTTTTTTTGTGTTAATTATTTAATCATTGCTGCTCTGAAGGATTGCATGGTGTCTGATAGCTTCTTGTTTTCAGCTTTAAAAAAACCCAGCAAACAAACAAGAAAACCAGTCTCAAATTCAAAATTAAGCTTTCTAGAACTAATTGGTAGGTGTTTTTTGGTATCAACATACTCCTATGCTCCCCTGTTATTGGCATTATTTATGAAAAAGGAGGAATAGCTTTTGCTTACCTGATGTGATCTTTAGTAAATCAGTTAATATGAAGTGGTGGTCTTGACAAGTATCGAGTTCTCTCATTTGTCTGGCTGCCAGTGTAAACATTCAGCAAGGAAGTAAAGTCTGGGAACAGAATAAAAATAGCATATTTGTCCAAGTTATCCCTGTTGAGAAACATCTGCACACATCTTCTCCTGGGCTTTCAGCTGAAAAAGAAAACTGTGTGGTTTTGTGAATAGCTGAGGAAAAAAACTCACTCTGTCTTATTTTCTGCATGACAACATCCACAACACATTGTGATTAATAATTCACATTTAACAAATGCTAGCTCTGAACTAGGATTAAAATATTAAGTATGAATATCTATGGTGTTAGATTTATGCATATGTGTACAGATAACTGGAGGCAGGTATGTAATGTCTGTGTGTTAGAAGCATCTTTTTACAAGTGTGATTGCACATTTACTGTTGGTTAGGGTTTCATAATCACAGTAGCTAACTTAGCTAATTCAAATAGATTTGTTCTAGTACTTACCTGCATCTCTTGTGGGAGCAGGGTGTTTAATATAAAATGTTTTGGTTTTTTTCAAGTTCTGTTGCTTTTCTTATACTGTCCTCTTCTGTGGTTTATAGCACAGCTTGAGAACTGCTCTCTCAGATGCACGGCTCCATTTCTTTGTGACAGTATTTTGCACAAAAGAGGATTATAAAGCAATTCCATGCCTTGACACAGTATGGAAGTTGTTTGATTTAGTTTAATTAATCTATCCTAGTCCAGGAGTCAGCTCAAAAATGAGACTAGTCATTTTAAAATGCCTTTCCCTCCTCCCCCCATTGATTAGATCAGGTCATAGTGAGACCCAATTCAAAAGATTCTTCTGCTACAATGTTGCTGCATTTTTTTCCACCTCTGTTTTCTTATTTGCTCAAAAGGCAGCACTATAGCTCTGCACGACATGTTATTGCAGCAAATAGCTTCCATTAGAGGAACTCCTGGTCATTTCCTTTTTTAGCATGGAATGGTATTGGAAACCCCTTTTAGGCATTTCATGCATTTGCTGCTGCTGGGTGGGTACGATAAATGAGTAGCTGAATTAGTGACTTCTCCAGTATAAAAGGAGTGCTTTGGGCTAAGTTTTGAGCAGATCTTTTAAGCAACTCTTCCCAAACCCCTCCTGACTTTGGAAAGCTCTTTTGAATGAGAAGTACTTCAGTGTAATGGGAGGGAAAGACACAAGAGAGAGAACACAGGTCTGACTGCCCCTGCTCCTCACACTCAGTGTCAACATCTCCACCTGCCTCACGTGGTGACACAGCTGCTGGCATGTGCAGCAGGGTCTCCTTTCCAGGCTGCTTTGCATGAGAACCAGTTCCTCTCCTGGTGCTGGATGCTGACCCAGGAAGGTTTCTGCCTCCATCTGCATCCTTGCTGACATTTGGGACCACTGAGTTCCCAGGATTTCCTCCAGCTGAGCACCGGAGTGGTTCCTGGGGTAACAGGTCTGAGCCCTCGGGGCAGGGCAGAGAGGGGCTTGGCACATCTCTGAATGTCCCCACTGTGCCCTCCCTGCTGAGCACCCCATGGCAGGGCCTGGGATGCTGCAGGCAAACCAAACAAACCCAGAAAAGGTAGCTGCTGAGGCCGAGTGAAGCACAGAGCCTCCTGCGGTCATGTGTCCCTTGTAAAGCCGGGAATTCCTTGCCAGGAGGTGTGTGGCCTTGGTGGCAGAGGAGCAAGGGCACAGGGAGGCTGGTGGCTTTTGATGCATGACATCCTGTGCTGATGGGGCAGGCATGTCCCAAGGTGGTGGTAAAAAAATCACACCAAATCCCATGAGCTGATGCTCACCCCTAACCCATGGAGCTGGGTGTAGCAACCTGTCCGGTGGGAATGCTGCAGAAACAGGCTTGGCCTTTGGGCTGCAGGTGCTGCCAGAGTCCCTCTGGGGACACGGGGGGGGTGTGTGTGTCCCGTGTGTTGCACGTGTTGCTGTCTGCCCCTGGAAGTGCCTCTGGCTTTCTGATTCTGCTCGCAGTCCCAGATGCTCTCACTGAGCAGTGCAGGGCAAGTGCAGCCTCTCCTTTTCACCTCCTGCTCTGGGGTTTCTGCCTGTGGGTGCTCACCTGGCCCTGCAGCATTCCCAGAGGCACCTGAGGGCAGGGACGTGGGACAAACAGCCCCACATGCCATGTTTCTGCCTTGCACTGTGCCCCCCCAGCACAGAGCCCCCTTCCCTCCCTCGGTGCAGGGCTGATGCTGCTGAGCACGACTGCGCCCCAGTGCTCGAGGAAGGACTGCCCTCAGCACCCCAAAATCCAGCACAGGACACCTGCAAGCAACACTCTGCAAGAGAAAGGCTCTGCTTCTAAAGCACCCCCTGCAGCAGCAGGGCTGTGGCTCCCAGTGAGCAGGTTTTCCTGGGTTTGGGGCTGCTCCTGTCCCGTGGTGCCTGCCCTGGGCAGTGCCGGCCTTGGAGCAGAGCAGGTCACTCCCCTACACATATGGTAGGTAATAACCCAGTAAGAAATTGTCTTTCCTGGCTGCCTGACAAAGGCCAAGGCCTTTCATGCCTGAAAATTTTAGCTTGGAAAAAAAACATTTATAATTTTTTTAATTACCCTTGTGATCCAGTAATTTTGAGGAGAACTGGGAGTGCTGCAGAGCGAATGCTGTTATTATGCTATCACTTTTCTGCAGCCTTTCAGCACAGAGCCAGCAATTTCATCCCAGGAGAAGCCCTGAAAGGTGGTTATTAGTGTGCATCACCACCAGCAGCCAGGTCCCTCCCATCCCTGCTGGGGACAGCCACTGCCACAGGGAACTGCAGCCTGTCTTCCCCTCCATCACCCAACATGTGATAATTTAGCAGCTGTCTAACCTGGCCTCTCTGCTCCAGCCTGCTTTTGCAATAACCATTACTTCTTTTTGGTCTGCTTTTCACAAGCTGATGAAGCAGGTTCATGGTTCATCAGGGTTTTGTTGGGGTGGGTCACTGCCATTTTAATTTTTGGTGCTTTCTGGAGCATTTTCCAGAGTTGGGGGCCTCCTGGTTTGTTCTCCAGCCAGGTCACACAGCATGGCAACAAGTCAAGAAAACACCCTCCAAGTGTTTCTGTTTACTGGGAATAACTACAGCCTGGCCTCCCTTATCAGCATGTAGCACCACTTAATTCCTGTTGCTAAAGCCCATGGATGACTCAGAGCCCACGGCACAGGATCCCTGGTCCTGTTGCTGTTAATTACCATGAACCATAATAGCAGCTCATCCCCAGCTGTTGGGACACACAACTCACTGCACAGGTTTGAGGGCTGCTCCGTTGGCTCTTAACTAAGCACGTTTGCCATGGCTGTCCCTGGTTCAGGCAGGTGCTTGTCCTGGGGATCTCTCACTGGTTTGCCAGGGACAGAACTGCCCACACAGTGATAGCCGTGAACAGCGAGTCAAAACATGGTTTATTTTCTCTTGCTCTCCTTTCTGGTTTATGTTCCTTAATAAAGGAGAGAAGTGATGGGAAGGAATCTGATTTCCAAAAGCAGGGAGCACAGCATGCAGTTGTCCTGTTGTACATGCTGAAGCATTTATTGAGTAAGATTCTGCTGCTGCATGGTCAGGAAAGGGGTGCAGGAAGGGAGCTGAGACTTCTCCCCATCTCTCTGAAATCCCATCACAGCTGCTGCCAGCATTGCCTAACCTGCTGCTTCTGTGCTGTGTTTGTTTGCTAGCAAAAATCCTGTGGGAAAGGGCTCTTCAACCTCACCTGCAGCCACCTCAACCTTGTGGAGAAGGAGTACTTTGGGCTGGAGTTTCACAGCCAGGCTGGGAACCAGGTGAGCACGGCTGGAACTGCCAGTGCCTGCATGGCTGGGGATGGTTAGCACCTCCCTGAAATTCCAAATGGAAAATTCAATGGAAAGTTTTGCCATGATGGCAGAAAAACCCTGAAAATGGGATTTATCACTGGGGCTTGTGGCTCCCCTCCTATCTACAGCTCATGGTCTATCCACAGCCATCCGTGTGGCACTGCCCAGCAGGACACTTGTCACAGCAGCCAAGCTGGCCAGCATGTTCATGTTGCATTCTACCATGCTGCTGCTGCTTTTGTTCCCCATCTCTCGTGCTCTTTATTTACCCAGCTCTTCTTTGCTTTATTTCAGGTCTGGTTGGAACCACTAAAACCCATAACAAAGCAAGTGAAAAGTAAGTGTTTCAAGAATAGAATTCTTATAAATCATTACCAGTGACAGTCTAGCACAGACACATTCATGCAGTGTTGTTTTTGGGGGACAGGATCTCTGGCTTCCAGCACTTAACCAGGCTCATTTTAGAGGGTGAGGCTGGGCAGGATTGTTTGCAAGGACACCTCAGTCCATACAAAATCCTGCAGAAATACCACTGCCTTTGCAATCTGGTATCTGCACCATTTTAGGCTGGAGCTGTTACTAATCTGCCAGCTTGGCAGAGGAGCAGGGGTGGCTGAGTGCCTGTGTGGCCGTGCTGGCAGGGTGACAGGCCCTGCTCCTGCGTGCCCTCCTTTTCCCCTTGCAGCTCAGTGGCCCAGGCACCTGCGTGGGGCAGGGTCCCCCCTCTGCCCTGCAGCTCCTCCCCAGCCCCCAGAGATGCTGCAGAGGCTGACCTGAATTCAGGCCCAGCCTCCTCTCCCTGGCCATGACCAGGGTTAACTCAGTGCTGCTTTCAGCAGCCTCTTTCCTTCCCCACGGTATTTTCCCCAAGTACACGATGGTTGGGAGGTGACTGAGAGCTTGGGGCCATGACCCCAATCTTTGCCATGGGGTTGGCTGCAGAGCAGGGTTTGCATGAATTTCCCTGAAAGGGGAAAGCCTGATAAGCAGCCTTCCCTTTCTGGGTGCACCACAAATGGAATTGTTGCAGGCACCTATTTCCTTTACCCAGTGCCTTCTGGCCTGTCCCTCTGAGCCATCCCAGGGTGTTCTGTGACAGTCAGTGCTTACATAATTGCCTCCCTCCCTCCACACATTTTGCCTTGGGCTTGGCTGCTTGTTCTCACTCATCCCACAAAAAAACCCTTTGCCCAAGCAGCCTCCAATGGATCTGTTGCATCCCAAGTGCTTGGAGGGCTGAGTTTGACACACAGCCCCAATGATGGCATTCACACCAAGGCTCTGGCCATGCTCCCTGGCACCATCTCATGGAAACCCCCTCCAAAAGGGATTTTTGCAATTTAAAGAATTGCTGGGGCATTTTTCTCTTTAGTATTCTTTAGATATCCAAATCTCTATTTGCATCCATTGGTAATACTGGGGGTCTGGGCAGGCTGGTTTTGGGGGGGCAGGCTGTAGTCCCTGATTTGTAAGGGTCCAGGTAATTTACTCTGTAAGGAGGCAGCATGTGTGAAGAGAGTTGTAAATGTTCTCAATAGACATGTGAAAGAAAACTTATGAAGATGTTGTGTTTTAAGATCCTAAGGAGGTTCTTTTCAAATTTATGGTGAAATTTTTCCCAGTGGACCCCGGCCACCTGAGAGAAGAACTGACCAGGTACAGTGCTTGTTTTATTGCTTTCTTACCACAGTCCTGGGTTTTTGCAGTGTGTTAATTCTTTATCTTCATCCACCCCAGCCTGTCTGTGTGCAATTGTTATCCTAAGTATCCTAAGTATTATGCTTTACAGAACAAAACCAGAGAATATCTTTTCTTGATCCTCTGTTTTTAAACACAATCCACTTGAAGGATCAGCTGTCTTATGAGGCTGCAATTTGTTTACTGCCAAACACTTTAGCAGTTGGGCACAGAGTCTGACTGCTCAGACTAGCTCCTGCCTCAAGCAGTGTTCTGAGAGAACAACTTTAGTTGTATTTTTAAAAATGACATTGTTAGCTTCCACAATTTTAGAGAAAGCATTGCAAACAGGGACTAAGAATAAAACCAAGACAGTGCTTCTGCAGAACGTCGGCCCCAAGGGAGGCAAATGCCCTCCAAAACAGAAAAGAATGTTAATTTTGAAATCTACTAATGAGAATTTCAATGCAGGGATGTGCTGGTCCTGCTGGTGCCCAGCTGCAGCCTTCTGCAGGGGCTGCACGCTCATCCCGTGACCCTGCAGATGTGCATCCCATGAGATGTGGGAGCAGGCACGGCCCTCAGGGCTCAGCCCAGCACCCAGTTCCCCGCAGGGCATGCTCCTGTCCCCCTCCACAGGTACCTCTTCACCCTCCAGATCAAGAAGGACCTGGCTCAGGGGCGGCTGCCCTGCAGCAACAAGAGCGCAGCGCTGCTCGTCTCCCACCTGCTGCAGTGTAAGGGCGAGCAGTGCCTGCAGGGCCGGAGCCTTCCCTGGGGATGGGCTTTGGCTGAGAGCCAGGGCTCCCCTCTGCCTGACCGCTCACAGCCTAATCCATGCTCTCCCCGTGTCCCTAAAGCCGAGCTGGGCGACTTCCACGAGGAGACAGACCAGCAGCACCTGGCCACGCACAGGTACCTGCCCAACCAGGAGTACCTGGACAACAAGATCATGCACTACCACCGGAGGCACAGGTAAGGGCTGCCCAAAGCCCCGATGCACCTCTGCTGACACCATGCTCCCACCAGCAGGCAGGGCTGGCGGTGGGGTGGGCGTGATGCCAGCAGGTGCACCTACAAAACTGCTTTTTTCAGCCCATTTCAGCGTCTCCCTTCTCACGCCTGTCTCTTCCTGTGCTTTTGTTTTGCGTCCCCAGAGGGAAGACGCCGGCCGAGTCGGACGTTCAGCTGCTGGACGTGGCCAGGAAGCTGGAGATGTACGGGATCCGCCCGCACCCCGCCAGCGACGGCGAGGGGACACAGATCAACCTGGCCGTGACACACATGGGCGTGCTGGTGCTGCGGGTGAGCCCGGGGTGGCCTCTCCAGCTGGAGGTGACCCTTCTCCCCTTTGAGCACCCCAAACTCTCCCAAATCCTACAAGAGGGCACGCGTTCCACAGGCCATGGGGGTGAAGGGGATGCTGTGGGGTTCAGCCCCACCGTCCCTGTGTGCCACTGAGCGAGCCCCAGCTCCGCTGGCCCTTGTCCCACGAGCGTGGTGGCCGTGCGAGCAGCACAGGCTCCACGGCTCTGTCACATGTGCTCACCGTGTAATCTTCCAGCGAAAATAGCCCCCCGTGTGTGTGCAATTACATAACGCTGTAATCACGGCCGAGCTGCTCGGTAAATACAGACTTCCTCCCAGCCAGCATGAGGCAGCGCTCCGCTCCCACACCGGCTGATTCCAACCTGGGAACATCTTGTCACAGCAAAGAAAACAAACCAACAAACCCAAACATAAAACCTAGCCGTGGGTCTGCTGTTGGTAATTAGTGCTGCCAGACCTGGTTATTTATTCAGAGCCATAAACACCCCTCACGCGTGATTAGAGCATCTGTGAGCCCATTAAAATCTGGGCTCTCGCAGAGAGCTGAGAGGGTCCTGGTGCCGCAGAGTGGAGTAACATGATTTTTCCTGGTTCTGCCATGTGGCTGCATCTAACCTTGTGCAAAGTGATAACAGAGTAATAATGTGTGCTTGCAGCCTGCTTAAACCGGGTCTAAAGGGGTGGGGGTAAGCTGAGCACTGCTACACTTCCCAGCAAAGGAGGGGAGAATTTTATTTCTTTGGAGCATGGATTCTGCCTTAACTCACGTGATATTTGAGCTGGCACAGATAGGATTCCCTGCCTTAACCTCTCCGAGGTTTGTCTGGGGATCTTGGACTTTTGCAAAGCGTTTCAGCAGGCAGAGTTAAGCCCTGAACCTTAATTTCTACTTGTAGAACCAGCTGATGCAGAGTCAAACACCAAACCCCAGCAGCTCCAAGAGCTGCATTGGAGTCTGTTGCAGTGTCCTGTGAGCTCAGGCCTTGGCCCAGTACATTTCTGTATTTACAGGTTGCCCCATCCAGCTGTAATTGTTGTGTGTTTGTCCATGCAGGGCAATACAAAGATCAACACCTTCAACTGGTCCAAAATTCGCAAACTGAGCTTCAAGAGGAAACATTTTCTCATCAAGCTCCATGCAAATATCTCTGTAAGTACCACACCACAGGCAGCTGCTGGGCTGGGGAGCAGACAGCCGGGGATGAAAGGACAGCCACACAAAGTCCCCAGTTTTGAGTAAAATCCATTCCTGCTGCTCATGATGGTGCTCCTTCTTGAGGGCTGCTCCTGTGTCCCCAGCAAGGTGACAGAGCACTGCCTGGAGCCACTGACAGCCCATATGGGGGATCAGGAGGACAAATGGCTGAGCTTGTCCTGTGCTCCTGACCCCGGCTGTCCTGTCTCTGGCACACAGGAGCTGTGCAAGGACACGCTGGAGTTCACCATGGCCAGCCGGGACACCTGCAAAGCCTTCTGGAAGACGTGTGTGGAGTACCACGCCTTCTTCAGGCTCTCTGAGGAGCCCAAGTCAAAGCCCAAAGCCCTTCTGTGCAGCAAAGGTTCCAGCTTCCGCTACAGGTAAATTCCCAGGGGAAACCCAAACTGCTGGGGCTGGGAAGGGCCTGGGGATGGCTCCGAGCGTCCCTTTTATGCCAGCCCTGTGTGAATCTGAGTGGGTGATGACAGCTACTTCTCCTGGAGAGACCCCTGCCTCGGTCCTGCTGCATCCCCTCACACGGGGCACACGGCCTGCCCGGGGCTGGGGCTGGTGGTGCTGCTCACGTTTCTCCCTCCATGCTGCAGTGGCAGGACTCAGCGGCAGCTGCTGGAGCACGGGAGGAAGGCTAAGATGAAGAGCCTGCCCTTTGAGAGGTACCGGGGGCATGGAGGGGGGCGATGCCTGAGGGGATTGGGGACAGGGGAAGGACCCTCTTGGCCACACACCTACCCTTGCTCTTGTCCTGCAGGAAACACTACACATCCCGCTATGATGAGAGGCAGTGCCGCTCCTCCCCGGACCTCCTGACGGATGTATCAAAGCAGGTGAGTCCCCATGGCATCAGCAACAGCTCTGTGCCAGGGTCTTGGCATTGCTGCCCCAGCTGGAGGCCAAGGCAGACCCTTAGCTCTGGTGCTCCCTTCCCACCTGCTCTGTGCCCTGCCCAGGTGGAGGAGCTGCGCCTGGCCTACGGCAGCCGGGGCTCCTACCACGCCAACGGTGTGCACGGCTCCGAGCCCACCCTGGACAGCCGGCGCCGCAGCTCCACCATGGAGGTGACATTTGCCGCTGAGCTGGAGCGCTCCAAGCCCGAAGCATCCCCCACCTTCCTGCCCCACTCCAAAAGCTCGTCTGCCTTCCCCCTGCTCTACGCCGAGCTGGAGATGGAGCGGGCGTGGGAGCCCATGGACCTCTTCGGAGCCAGGAATCCCTTGACGTCCTTTCGGCCCCACCAGCAGTTCGCTGGGAACAGTAAAAGCACCTCTGTGGGCAACATGCGGGAAGTGAGCGCCCGGCAGCTGGTGTACACGGATGTGCCCTGTCCCCTGCCCGTGCTGGCCCCGGCCCCCCCGGTGCTCTTCTATCTGGACAGGGCGCTGCAGCCCCCGTGCCCTGCACTGGCCCCTGCCGAGGACACAGCAGGAGCGGCCGGTCCAAGCGGCCCCGTGGCAGCAAAACCCCCCCGGCAGAGCCCGAGCGGGACCCAGGCTGGGCAGCTCCATGGTGAGGCTGCAGGCACGGCCACGGGCACGAGCATGGCGGGGGAGAGCAGGTCACTGGCTCGCTCCTTCGATTACGGCCTTCAGGAGCAGCCTCCCAAGCGGTCTCTGAGCCAGTCGGACATGAAAACCATCCGCTTCCCCTACGGCTCCGAGTTCAGGCCCCTGGGGCCGTGCCCTGCTCTCAGCAGCCGGAAAGGCGGTGTTTTTTGGCACGTCCCAGCCCAGCAAGGGCTGGCTCCGGGGCTGCGGCGCTCCACCGAGCGCTACCTGGGCAGCAGCACCGAGTCCAGCGACTCCGACTCGGACCTGCTGGCCGCCGACTACTGCTCCCTGTACGGCCGCGTGCTGCGCTCGCCCATGGCCCGCGTGCGGCTCTCCTCGGGCAGCCTCCAGCTGGATGAGGAGGACGAGGAGGTGTCCTTCGCCACCAGTGCTGCTGAAGAGAGGATTTCCAGAGGGGCCTCCAAGTATTTCACCTAGGTGCCTGACACCGGCCAGAGGGAGCAGAGGTGGCCGGTGCTGACCCAGGGTCAGAGAATGGTGACACTCTTCGTTTGCAGGTCTGCTTACAGCTTATGAAACATTGATGGGATCGTGTTGTGCGAGTGCTCTTAGCTATAGAGATGTGTTAATGGACATCAGGGGTGTGTTCAGAAGTATTCAACCCCTGCACCACACTTGGAAGCTGGTTTGCCTCTGCCACCACGCTTTGAGGGGGGGGGGGGTCTCAGTTCAGCCAGAGATCTCCTAAAGTCCTGCTAAGTCCCCATGTCCTGCCCAAGCTGATGCTTGGAGCTCAGCTGCTGGAGTCTTCATGAGGGCGAGGGAGAAAAGAAAAAGAGACTCAGAGAATAGTTTCAGCTGCTGTTTTCCCAGCTGCACTGGAGGGAAGGGTGTTTCAGGCCCTTTTGGAAAGGAGCAAGATCTTCATGGGAGGCTGCTCCTTGAGCTGATGCCACGTGGACAGGACAAAACCCCAGCACAGAGCCCACCTCCTCCACTTGTCTCACCTCCCTCCAGTGCTGCAGGGAGAACCTGGCACGCAAAGACAAGGCTCTGTGTGTGGCTGTCTTCTCCCTGGCCAGTTTAGAGGATTATCCTTCTCCAGAAATACCTCAGTAGTGCTTGTCAAGCTTTTAGAAGCCCCCTGTGGAAGTGGGTTCATGCTCTCTAACTGTGCTTTGCTTAGGCACATCAGCCATCACCTCCTGGCAGCACCATGACAGCCCCAGCACCTCAGTGCTCTGCTTAAATCTGAGAGAGATGTGTAAGGAGCTTCTTTGGGGTCCTTTGCTTCCCCAAATCTATCCTCAGTTAAGCAGCATGGGAAAAAAAAAAGGTATCAGGAGCAGGTAGGAAAGGAACAAGCAGCTGCTTGGAAGTATTTTTATTAAAAAACTTACTATTACCCTAAACCTACATGAAATCTACGTGGAAGTCTTGAGAATGATGACATCTCCATAAAATTTTAGGGGGGATATTGATAATTTTCTTTAAGAACAACCCTGTAAGTCTTTGTAGGACATGACTTTAAGCAGGGAGACAGCCCAGAAAATCTACGGCAGAGAAACCACTGCAGCCTGCTAGAAGGATTTCAGAAACATGGAAGCTGTGACAAAAAAAAAATAGATTAAAATGTAGGAAGAACTGGGCTTATGGGTCCTGCTCACTCTGCATGTTGCTGTCCTTTGTTTTAGAAGGTGGACAATAAAAAACAGTAGTTCACACTGGAGTTTTGAGTTCCTTGTTCTGCCCTGTGAAATCTGCACCCCCAGTCCTGCAGGCACCCCCCAGCACACCTCGCCCTGTGCCTCCCAGCTCAGGAGCTTCCCTCCGTGCCCCCAGGAGCTGGTTTCCCTCTCCTGCTCTGCTGCCTGGCCTCCTCTGTGCCCTTGCTGTCCCAGCAACTGGGGAGACTTGTGGAGATCCCTGAGCACTGCTGAAAACAGCCACATTCTTGGTTGGTTGCCCAAAGAAATGCATTAGCCCAACAAGTGAGTACATTGTAAGGTTTGCTTCTGCTCCTAGTTACCCTGTGCTGAAGCTGGGAGCTGCAGTGATCCCTCATGCTGCTCTGGCACATGTTCTGCTGAAAAAAGGGATAATCTTTCTGGCTAGAGGGCTGTTTCTTCCCCCTTCCCAAAGCTCTGTACCTTGGAAAGAGCAAGAAGCACTACTCAGTGCATTTAAGAATGGCAGTCTGAGGGCAGTTTGTAGAGGGTTAAAAAAAGCAGCAGTGTTTCAAACACAGGCTGCACACACAGCCCTGGGATACTTCCACAATCGCTGTTAGCTCCTCAAGCATGTGGAGACACACCTTGAGCATGTCCCACCATGAGAAATCATTGTACAAACACCCTGCCAAAATCTTCAGGAACTGCCATAGTCTTGAAGACTATGCTGGGAAAACAGCATTGAGAGGGAGAAACAAGGACTTGGGAACTATTTTTGGATTTTTCCATGGACTAGGGAGTACTGGGGCACAGTGTGGGCACTGTGCCTCAGCACATCCTACACATGGTCACAATAGCAGAGGAACAAAGCAGCTCGTCAGCAAGTGACACAAATCAACATCTCTGAGCTAAATTCATTGCATAAACCACTTTAGTGGGACTGACTAAAATTAAGGAACAACTCCAGTAAGCAGTGGCTTACTTGTCAAGGAACAATTGAAACAACCCTTGCCTAAGTCCTTCCCCTCGCTCCCTGCTCAGCCCTAATCACCACTGAGATAAGGACAACTGTTTAAGTGATTTTGTTTCCCTAGGGAAGAAAACAAGGATGGAGAGAGGACGTGGAAAGATCTGGTTTGCTGGTGGTGAAAGACAAACAGCAGAACCTGGAAAATGTAAACTGTTATAGTCCTTACACAAAGGATTATTGAAGGCACTGTAGATCACAGTGGGAAAACATTAAGCTACTCGGTGCATTCAGATAGAAGTATCTGGTTTATATAAAGCAGATAAAGGTTTAGACAAAATAGATAAAGCTGTGAAATAAGCCGACATACACACCACTAAAACTTTGCCAAGAGGAAAATAATTTTATTCCAGTCTTAAGTCATAAAACAGCGTGATAAAAATCAGACTTTTAACAATCACTAGACTTTGTGCAAACACATTAAAACCTACACACTCTCCTACTCAGCTGTCAAAATTGCAAGGCAAGAGCAGGTGTGATGGCACTACACTGCACAGAAATTAATAGAGGGGTCAGAGACCAAGGGCTTAAAGAGTGGTTACACTGATCAAGGACTCATCTACCCAAGAACAAATACATTTCTCTATTCTGCAATTCAGACTACTTTGATAAGATTACTTCAGCAACAATTCTCAACCTGCAGCAGGAAGCCTGGCAAACCAAAAGATCAAGAAGATGGTTCCTGCATGAATATTTGGATCTATCTTTCCGTTAGCTATCTGCCAGCAACAGAATACTGCTGATTAAATTACACAGTTCATCAATAACTAAAACGTGGGAAAAAGACAGCTCATTTCTGGAATCAGCAATACAGATGTCCCTTCTTAGGAGCTAATTATAGTCTTACTATGCAGAGACTTCAGACATATGCAGCACAATAAAAAAACCTTCTTGAATGGACTGTAGTACAAGAGAATGAGTATGTTTTGTACACATGTGGGGGAGTTTTTCCCATACTGTCCCACGAGGTAGGTATACATCCCACCCATTCCACAGGAAAAGAAGAGGCACCATAGTTCAGCAACTTATTACAGTATTATCTCAAATATGTCAGGTTCCAATTTCCCATGTCATTGGCTAACCCAACCCACCCAGAACTGTCCATAAAGCTGCATAAAGATCCTGTGTCAACAGGGTAGGATCCACCACTTACAAAACTCAGGAGGAATTCCCATCAGCGCTTCCCTCAGACTGCCACAGGAAAAGAACACCTTCAGAGAAGTGACACAGAAGTAAAAACGTTTTTAATTCTGAGAAATGTATATGGAGCTCCTTAAAATAAGATTTGTGTTGAGGTTGCTGAGGTGAAAGTCGAGGGAGCTGTGGCACAGGCCTCGGTGTCCCTCCACTGCCCCACGCGAGGCCAAAGGCAGGCAGAGCTGTGGGAGCAGTGACACCGCTGCGCTGCCAGCCAGGTCTGAGCTCACACATCCCAGAGCCTCCTCTGCAGGAAAGGAGCCAAACTGAACCCGGGACTGCTCCATCCATTCCCTGGGGCACAGCAGCTGGGAGGTGTCCCCTGGCCAAGGACAGCGTGGGGCACTCAGAGCTTTCCCACGCAGGGAACGCCTTTGTCACAACACGAGTCTGTGCCCGACATGTCCACACCTCTGCACAGCTGCTGGAATTCAGAATAAAATGATGCACAACAGAACAAGCTCATGAAAGTTTACAGAACTTAAATATTTATTTTTAAACCATTTTAAACCCCCCAAAACATTGAAATAAGCTTCATCTATAAACAGATTTACAAGACTAACAACTACAGAAGCTAGAGGAGCACTACAATTTGTTTCTGTGATGCAGTTATTTTGTAAAGCTTCAGATCAACTGTATTTACAACTTTTGCTGCTTTTACATTTATAAAAATATTTATTTAATCCATAACATTATTGTTTTCAAAAACTATTTCCAGACTTTTTTCTCAGATATAAATTCTAATTGAATTTCAGTTATATAGCAGATGAAAGTTTTAAACAGAAACATTTTTTTTAAAATTAAAACAAGGAGTTAAAAGTAATTTTTTTTTACAGTGTAGGCACCATTGAAAATAATTGTCCTTGGCATATCTAACCACCATCTCTCACAAGTGTCCTTTATATAAAAACGATGTAATGGCAACATTTGACGAAAAATGCAGTATTTACTTGCACACCATTACTTTTTCAATATTTGGCAGATATATTTCAGATTCTTTAAAATGACTTTTGTGCAAAAACAAAATGTGCAGGTCTGAACCATAAAATAAACACACCCAGCCTTTATCAAAAATAAATTTACACCAACAGTTCCACAGCTAAGTACTGAAAAACAATCCCAGTTCAAAACTTTAGCATAATATACATACTGGGTTGAAAAAGGGAAAAAACCAAATCAAAACAAAACAACAGAAGAGATTACCCATCTAGCAGTACCATAAATATATAACTGAAAGCAACTTTATAGTCTTACCTACTTTTTATGAAAAAAATCACTCCGTACTGCACAGTACTACCTTTTTGTGAAAGAATATCTATAACTCAGTTATTTGCATATTAACTGGTAAATACATATTTAAAATACACTTTCAGAAAATTATAAACAAATGATGTTGATGTACTGTATTGAATGCATTTCAGAACAAAAATGTGTATAAATATCTTACAGGAGAAACAACACCACCACACAGAACGCTGGTGTTACACCGATACCTGCGTGTGAGGTATGTAACATGCGACGCTCGGCTTCTCTGGCTCCCTTCCACCCAGGCATGTAGACTCAGAGGAAAAAAAATTAAATTAAGTTAAACTGGACTTCTGGTTTTGTCCATTATTGCCGAAAGCCCCACCCCCTCAACTGTATTGCTCTAAATTTTCCTACCATGATGATGTAAGATTGAGTTACTACTTCAAAACCTGTTCTAAAAGGTAATACACAGACTGTACATCAGGATAGACCTGTTGCTACATATCACCTGCAAACTATTGCCATATTGCTCTCAAATATATTTAATCATAGAGCTGCCTAAAATACTGTACCAATTTAGAATTAAAATAGATACTGTTGCAGGTTTGTTTTTCAGGGCACAATAACTATATGCTGGTTGAAGCAGGTGCTACAGCAATACCCTTGCCACTACATTACATGTCTTGAATATGCTTGTGAAAAAGCTATTTTTCTCTGAAGCTCATTAGTGATTTACAAAAGTTTAACTCATGAATATAAAAGACCTGTACAACCCCATGTACAGGAACAAAATAGCATCAAAACATACTGTACTTGCACATTCTATTAACTAAAGTAATGGTTATTTCTAAAAGCAAAACTGCACCTCAACATTTATCAGATTAAACAGGTGAAA